TTCTTCTCAAATTATTTTTATTTCATCTGTTTTCTGAATGCCATCACATTCACAGCGCATCCTTAGGTCAAGTCTTTCAGCTATTTTTTCCAAGTCTCTTCATTGACTGCTACTGAGAAATCAGCTGTTCCCAGTCCAGTATTGATTGATCGTAATGATTACAGATCGATAATATCGTTCATTGTATGTCAAAGCAATCACGGTTTAAGCTCATAGCTATTCAACATTTTTTGCCTTTTCATCTTTTTTTTCGGTTTTTTTCAAGTTCTTTGAATCTGTTCAGCTTATGGAAATCAGCGGATTCTGTTTGTCACTCTTTGTTGGGGCCCCTTTTCATACTCTTACGAATCAATAAATCAATAATTTTTCCGTTCTATTCGGAATCTTGCTGTCTGAAAATCGTTTGAGTAATGTACAGATCGTTTACTCAATGTCTACCACAATCGACCTCGATCCAACATCTACTTGAAGTTCAATTCTGGTGGTATTTTCGATCCTTCTGGGTGGTTACAGTACCACGACAGCTGCTGGCAGGTCACAATCTACTCACTCTTCAAAAACCTGCCTGTTGTCTCACATGATTATCAAGAACCATTGGCGGAAATTTGAAACCTCGCCCAACCTTTTGGTCAGCTGTTTCTCGGGAAAAAATGCTCAAGCTGAAAGTGAGCGCGCTGATTGTGATGGCAGGGCAGGGCTACCCCGATGAACAAGCGAGAGAACTGCGCAGCGATTTCATCCAGTATCGGTAATCATCGGGTAGTCAGACTCCCTCATCGATCGAATTCATGGGGTTCATCGAATTTTGAAGTATTCTCCCAAATGGGCACCGTTTCACAAGGAGATTTCAAAGGGCCAAAGGTTCGAATCAGTTGTAGAACATTGTCCATCACACTATGTATGACCAACTGGCGTATGTAATTTAGGAAATTTCTGGCAGTTCCCTTCCTATCCCCTCGAATGAGTCTGATTCTTTTGTCGGGTACAAAATGCGGTCTGAAGAAACCGTCTTTCGGGGGCTACCGAACTCGTTACTCCATTATAGCAGAAAGGCAGGCGGTTGCAGACTCCTCTTAATAGGTGCACTGATCGACGAGCCAGGCAGGCGGAAACCTGTTCCCCCCGATTTGCAAGGGGGACATACGACACTAAATGCTAATGCATGATGTGCACCGTAAGAAAAGGTCTGTTCTCATTAGATGGCCTAGAGAAATCGACGGAAGTGCACCATCGTTCGGTTCGTGTACCTTCTTTACCGTACCCGTACCGCGGCGGCGTTGCATCGCGTGTGTCCTTTGGAGTTCAGGCGGGCCGGTATGCTCTCGTATTTCGCCGTCGCCGTCGTCGTCGTCGTCGTCCCCGTCGCCGTTTCGGCCTGGTTGAGAGGGGGGAGCGCAGTGAGAGAGGTGTTTTCATTGTCGGTCTGATAGACGGTGTCAAAGACGTGGCTTGGCTGTGTAATAGAGGAGAACTGCCTGCACACGCCCGACAGCCACAAGAGTGAAAGTACGAAAAATTAACTAACGGGGCTTTGTGTCAGTTTCTGCGTTCTGCGCGAAACCTATCTCCGTTTTCAATGATCGGGTTCATCCGATGGCTATCGATCGGTTGGATCTGGCCTTATAAATGAGCCGGTTTTCTTCGGGATTGTTCAGCAGGATCGATAGTTGACTAATGCGTCATCATTCATTCAGATCCATCGAAGGGGTCCACTTGTGGGCTGGGGTTTTTTTCATTTTTCATCGAATTTTTCGCCCATATGGTTAAGCGGTAGCTCTATCCGTTCTCAAGCAAGTCCCTCTCGAACTTTGCTGTCACTTGCCAGTAGAATATCTTTTTTCCCCAGTCACAAATCAGTTGGAGCAGCTACATGTTCTGTTTCGGATCAGCCATGGCCAACTGGCTCCGATGGCCACGACACCCGGTGCCAAGAATTTGTGGGATTAGAAGAGGACAGCGAGCTAACCTCTGGAGATTATCTTCTGCGTGGTAATCGGCTGTCGGCAGATTGTCCTAGAAAAAGCTGACCGGCTCTAATAGGGGCCAATCCGGTCCTATTTTGTCTTCACGGGCTTCATTCACTCCCTAATGATTGAGGGTTTTTGACATATATGACCCCAACTATCCTTTATCCTCCTATACGAAGGTGTAACTGTTAGTATAGCTGCGTACAGGAATCCTCTATTGACTGTCCGGCTCTGGTCCCCCGGGTCATCTCTATCCTGAATTTTGGCCACAGAATGACTCCGTTCTAAGGTTTTGTGACTTGAACCAACTTGGTGTCTTGCTTGGTGAATTTATTGTAGTGATGAGTTCTTTTACTTCGAGTTACCAATTGTAAAATGAGCTCGTCCAGTTTTCTTTGCAGGACCGCCGCTATTTACCAGTGTGACGGTAGCTTTTTGTCTATTTGAATGGTCTTTGTATGTGCTACTACGACGACGATGCCGGCAACGATGTCGTTACAAAACAATAAAACACCCTGACACTCACTATACCGGTTCCACATCCACATACACACACATGCATACACATACACATAAACAGACACAGCCGGAGTTGCAAATATCCGTGTCCATCCAATTTGACCACCATTTAATCGATAATCGACCACTGGTCATGACCGCTCGATGTCGTTTGTCGATTTGTATGAACGGAAAAAAATAGGGACACAGGCGATAGACGTGCATCGGTCAACTTTGGAGAATTGAAGGTCGAAAGTAGAAAAATCAGTGATTTGCAGCAGCTGTTGACATGTTGCTGCTTTTTCTGGCCCACCACTTGATAAATGGCCCAATCTCCCACTTATTTCCTACGTGTTGACTGTTTGCAAGCATGAGTAGTACTGGGAAGAATTCGATATTATCTGTGGAGTGCAGGAATGCATCGGCATGGGAAATCCCTTCCCGTAGCAGCAGTAGGTATGAAGTGATCCCAAAGGTCCCCACGTCATTCCAGGGGTACTTCTACCGTTTCCCACTCCCATTTCGAGGGGGAACCTTGTCGATTTATCGATTTCCATTTTATCAAATTGTCGCGTCGATTTGTCATCGTATGTTCGTTACGCGGAAATACCGCCGGCTGACTCACATTGATAATTGCGCGTCTCTCAAGTGTTTTGATGCATTTGAACTGATATACGTTATCAGTGCTCATCTGACATCAATCGATACTTGTACCTATTGATTGATTGATGAGGAGACAAGTGGTGTGTGTGTGTTTGCGTGTGTGTGTGTGTGGTTTCTTATGTCAGTTGCCACGATGTTCACAGAGAGATGACGAAGATCGTAGAGGGTGCAGGGTAACTCTATTGGTTTAACCTACCCGTTGTGTCGATGGTGGAATCGATGCGTCACCTGCACTGCGGGAGAAAACGCCTGCAACTTCTGAACCTCCCCCCTGGTTACCGTATGATGCCGTCATACTGCGCAGTATGGTCGGTAAATCGGTTTTAAGCCGATTTTATTGTAACAGCGATCCCTACAAATCAGGTTAAACGATCAAAATGAGCCTGTCGATGACATTGTTGAAGGGTCAGCAACACTTTTAGAGTGCGCCATGCTTTCGTCAAATTAACAGATTAGAACAAATACTTGAGAACCTACAGGAATGAGCCTTTCCGAAAAGGACCTCCTACAGAAAACAGATCGTGACAGACCAGAGCAACACAGAATACCAGGGACAAGAAATATGGATTATTGGACGAAGTGATTGCCCCCATGGGAATTACCAGGATGGCCTCACTATCAGCGATGGTTTCTTGTTCTGAACCACTACCATGACTAGTCACCTTTTTCATAGGTGAAGGTTTTCTATTCCTGATCAGTTTGGTGGTTGAATTTCTGATATTGCTGCAGATGTTTTTTCAAAAGCTTATGGTTTATCAGTCCCCACTATTGTCCCATTGTCCTCGACCAGCAACCCTATTGTAGAGGGGTTTTTGAAGAATAAATCGTAAAATTTGGGTGTACAAGTCATTTATATTCTCAAAAAAAAAACAAACAAAAAGAAACAAACTCAGAGACGAACAAATGGGTAGATGAGGACTTCCCAGACGATGGCCGAGTAATAAATGAGAATCATGAGAACGAGTATGTGTATTATCTTCCCCAAACTTCCCGAACATGCATTTCTTTGACTGTGACCGTCTGAAACATTGATTTTCGACTTTTACCTATCCTAATGGACTTTTCTACTGTAAACTTTATTTCGTTGAGTTACAGTAAGAACAAATCATACTGCTGTGACCTAGTAATTACTGAAAATTTCTTTCAAATCATTTCTATTGAGTAATTTTGTTCATTTATTAGCCTTTGTGTCTAAGTTGATAATCGTTAGAACCGTTGGGTTGGTTCGACTGTCATCCCAGTTCTTTTTATCGCTTCGAGTCGTTTCCACTATCATTTTGCACTCTCGAAATGTGTGTCGTTCACAACACGAAGAAGAAGAACGCCAGTCGCGCACGCGGCGATCGCGACGTCGCGCGCGCGACACGGTAGTGAATACATCAAGGCCTTATCAGGTCGCAATCTCCTGATAACGGTCCTGTGTATTCTCGACTGGGGACACTCTCTGAACTGCCCTCTGCTACTCTTCGTCTTCGCCACATTTCTTCTCTCTCTCTATCTCAATTGAGAGCGATGTTTTGCAACGATGGCGCTGAATCGGCGGCGGACAACGGACGGCAACCGTTCTGATTGCAATTTTAGATATCCGTTAGTCGTTTCACTCTTCATTCCGTGTGAGAAGATCTCTTGAGTTGCCGCAGACGGGTCCACTGGGACAGCCAGCCGATGCGCACACATTCACAAAAAAGGTCCCTTATGCGAAAATGCTGCTCGTATGTGGGGAAAGTGGTGGGTGTTGGTCCAGCTGCTCAAATACAAGTAATCACAGCTAGGCGAAAACTGGAGTAGTAGCGGCAGGTGCAGAGGTCTCCAAGAAGCAATGCATACAGCATTGCCTGAAAAGAAAACTTATTGTATGCCATTTAGTTTCAGATGAACGATACGGCCGACATCGTCAAACAGACGACGCCGACGACCACAAAAATCGAACCCAACGATAGGTACGGTAATTTGCTGCTCACGCAAGAATGAACCGATACGATGTAATACTAGGGCTAGGCTGTGTTTTATGATTTAGCTTTATGAGATATCGGTTGATAAACTGAAGTAAAAGTAGCATTTTTGCAAGCTGCTACAACAAAATTTGTACTTTGAAGTGCAATGCACTTGTCAAGCTGGCCGATCACAAGCGATTGAGAGTCAATATGACCGGCATTGAGACAGAAGTATCATTTGAATCGAAGCAGTAGCGGTTGATTGACTGAGGGAGAGGATCAAGGGGAGGAAATCACGGAATTCACATGGGAAAGAATGGGAATTTGAAAAAAGGAAATCATCTTGAAAAAAATGTTTAACCCTACTTTCAAACTTGGCGAGCACTGGTAAGGTATTGTACTAATTGAATGGAAAGCTTTATTTGGCGATTACTTAAAAATAGTTTACTTGATAATACCCCAATTTTGATGAGAAAGGGTTAAATTACCAGTTTGGTGGGTCTGATCATGCCAACTCAAATGGAATTCTAAAGTTTTCGGGAATTTCCCACGAGTACGTTGCTGAACCCCATCATTCACTAAATGTGAAATTCGTGAGCTATGAAGGTGTGAATTGGGCGGCGGAAATTCGAAAGTCGGAATACGGAAGCCGGAAATGGATCCAAATCAAATTTTCGCAATTTCTGAATCACTCTACATTACTCTTTTACATCTTGCTGTGAAAATGTTTAAGAAGCCTCTAATACGGAGTTTCGTTCAAGTTTATACAATTATAACAATCAAACCCGATCTGGATTTTTTTAATCACCGTTTATACTTTTCGATATTTCGGTTGGAATCATTCCAACCCTTGGCCTTGCCAAGAATCAGCTTAACAGACCCAAAAACCCGGCTTCTCTCATCGACATTGGCGTAGCTAGTTCAAAAATGTTTCCATTTAGCCAGAAAACGTGATTTTAGAACCGATATCTGATCTTCTTTCGATTATATGGATTTCTGCAAGAAAGACCTCAAATAGTTGCCTATGCTTTAGCTTTTTGCTGTGTCAAACTGATACATTACCAAACGAGTTTGGAGAAATCGAAAAACACCAAATAAGAAGTAGTGGAGTGAGCTGATAATTGTTCTTACTTTAACGAGAGATTCCAAATTATTTCCTTTCCTGGTTGCCTTCTTTTTCATGATTTTTTCGGTGTCTTCGGGGAGCCTTTCTTTGGCTCCTATTATTTGACTACATTAATATCGTCTTTTTGAAAAAAGCTTCACTGATCCAACCTCCGAGCAACATTTCTATACAACTAAATAGGAGGGGATGGTTTTACTAAATGTGTTTTTTATTAAACGCGCTGAGGTGTACGGCCAGCTGCTCAAAATGGGTTTCTAATAGTATACTTAACAGCAAGATGCTTTCTGGACTTGCTTGAATCAAGGTGTTTTCTTCTTGATTTCAACAAAGTCTTTACTCCAGATGAACTATATGTTCTGATGGTAAGTTTTTCAGGCTTACCCCCACCTATGACACCTTCAAGAAAGAGCCTTGGCCTGGTGCTACCCAATTAAATGGTGGCCAAATGATTACGGTGATTACAATGATTAAAATTACGATTTCAATTCCTAGAGTACTAGTTTTACTTGAACTATCCTTACCATTTTTAAGTTATCTCCACCTGCTGGCGANCTGATCCAACCTCCGAGCAACATTTCTATACAACTAAATAGGAGGGGATGGTTTCACTAAACGTTTTTTATTAAACGCGCCGAGGTGTACGGCCAGGTGCTCAAAATGGGTTTCTAATAGTATATTCAGCAGTAAGATGCTTTCGGGACTTGCTTGAATCAAGAAGTTTTCTTCTGAATTTCAACAAAGTCTTTACTCCAGATGAACTATATGTTCTGATGGTAAGTTTTTCAGGCTTACCCCCACCTATGACACCTTCAAGAAAGAGCCTTGGCCTGGTGCTACCCAATTAAATGGTGGCCAAATGATTACGGTGATTATTATGATTAAAATTACGATTTCAATTCCTAGAGCACTGATTTTACTAGAACTATCCTTACCATTTTTAAGTTATCTCCACCTGCTGGCGACCCTGCTGGCACCCAACCAGAGCCGACGCAATCATCGTCCAGTGCCGGCTCCGATCTCACCGCCGGCGATGCCGAGGGTGTGTGGAGCGTCGACATCGATCAGGTATCGTTCCAATAGTCTTTTTTAATGGTAACTAAAATCGTGGGTGGAGATGTTGTAGTGCCATATGAGGCATAATCACCCACGTGGTCCGGGAACCAATCCTAAATCAACTAGTACCAAACAAAGCCTGCAATTATGCAAATATTGAAAGTTATTGAAGGTTGTCCCCCGCAGTTCATTACGTAACCCACATAGGCATTCAAAACATCACTACAATTCTGAATTCAATTCAAATGCGGGGGCGCATCCCACACGGGGGATCGGTTACCTTTGAAGGATTGTTTGAATTCTACCCGAACCTTCATGCTTGCCTTCCAGGCCTTCCAAGAAGCACTAGCCATTTATCCACCATGTGGTCGACGGAAAATTATAATCAGTGATGAAGGAAAGATGTATGGTGAGTGAAAATCGCTTTGGCTTTTTTCTCCGCACTCCATTGGTCTTTTTTCTGTTTCCTTTCTGGTACTGTTAACTTAACTGTGACCTTACTCTCTAACTAACCGGTTGTATTCGTTTATGTCAGTAGCACTAAAGCAAAGGTGACATTGAAAGGATCGGAGAATGAGAGCGTTCGGATTGTACGCTTTTTTTTTNTTTTTTTTTGAACATTTGCCATGAAGGACACATCAGCGACATCTCCGATTTACCGGAATCTCCGGAAGGTTCCATTTTCGTGAAGTGTGGTTGTTTGGGAGCGTGATCTAACGGAAACTGATTTGGGCAACTACGGAAAGCGTGCATTCTATCCAACCTTTTGTGACTTAATTGCCTCTTCATTGTGGTTCTTAGGGGTGCTTTGCGGTTCGTCATGCGATTGCCCTTCACCGACGTGCAGGCAGGTCGCGTCGTCGCCCAGCAGCTGCTCCTTCCATCTGTCCCTTAGCGGTTAATTCGCATGCCGTCGTCCGCCACGTTCCCCCGACCACTGTACCGTGATGAATTGTCGCCGCCACCGCCGAACCACAATAGACCGAAATCGACGTCGCGCGATGAACAACCGCTGTAAACCAATGTCACTGCAAAAAAGAAACGATGACGAGTCGAGAGGGAGCGAGGGAAATAGGTGAGCCTGCCGGGGTCGGACATTAGGTTCGAAATTGCATGCTATTTCAGTAGAGACAAAATAGCAATGTAGAAGAGGGAACAGAGAGCTCTGGGGCCAATGTGATGGGAACATAGCTATGGGAATGGCATGGATCAATGTGAACCGTTTCCCCATGTAACCAAACAGGTTTGGGTATTCTTCTCTACTGGAAAAGACATTTCACCGATGGTGGTCTATAAACTTTTGAATCAGAGCTCTGCCCCGTTCCTACCAAACTGCCAAGACGAAGTGCACAGATGTTTTTAAGACTCGCGCCAGGATGTTTTGCTCAATACCAAGCCAAAGCTCATAGTTATAATTGCTTTTTCTACTCAGATTTCAAATCTCTAGTGAAGGTATTTTGACCACGAGCTCGTGAACTGTGCTGGGGTTTGTTGGTGAACACTTTGGGGGAAGCTAAATATGACGAGGACTGAGGTGGTATGACCGAAGTGCCCTAACTGCGGTCTGATTTCTAAAATCCCTCCAAGATACCACGGTCGGAACCATTTATCACTCCATGGAACCCATATCACTTCCAGTCACTTTGGCTTTCCTCAAGGACTCGTGCAGTTCTTTCGTTTGCTCACTGCTAACTGCCCTTGTCAAATCATGAACTGATCCAGGAGATATTTTTCTTTTTGAGGTACTCACCATTGGGACCGATCTGGTTTTCATCGAGATCGTTTTTGAGCGTAAAATAGATCCATCATGGTTGAATCCTGACCCCGTTGGTGTCATTTGTGACTGTCATAGTGCCATTAGCAAATGTCATATGAGGTGGCCGTTGATTGACAATGATTACCAAGGGTGAACGACGTTCCGCATCTACTCGTTGATGCTGGCCCTAAGGGACATTGAGTGGCCCTAGTTGAGGTTCGGTGGAAGGATTACAAAAACGTGCTCGCATGAGTTAACCGTAGTTCACAGCTGGACGAGGTGTGGTGCAGTTGAATTCAATTAAGTTGCAGTGCGAATACGCAACCTGAGCATTTTTCAGAGTGTAACCGAAATAAATAGAGGAACATTTGGGGACATTTTCAGAAAAATCAAGCTAGAATCAGCAATCGGGAACAATTTTAAAAAGCAGACAGAAGACAGAAACAGTAAAAGTACTCATAAGATGTAGCTGTCAGTGGAAGTCTTGACTTCAGTCTTCTGATTCATATTCTTCCCATCCATGAACACCAAGCTAGCTGCTTTTTTTGTCTTGCATTGGGGCTATACATATATCTGAACTATATATCGAGGGATGCTCCTGTTCCTTACCCATCATCTGTAGGAGATACTCCCAAAAGTCACATATCGAATGGCAGCTATTTGGACCAATCTTTGATCATTTTGGTTAAAAGTAGCTGCAGTGTCCTGTGGAAAAGGCCGAATTGCAGTGAGGTCACTGACCCACGCCGCTATAAGTGCCCAACTCCCGCTGCTTCATGCTATTGTCCAGGGAACCCTTTTGGTCATTCCATCACGGGTAAAGCGATTAGTTACGAAGAACAAATCCATTGGCATCAGTCGAATTTCTTTTTAAAAGCTTCGAAGTGGAATTTCTCGATCCATTACATCCAGATCCAGTTATAAGCTAGGTTGTCACTTTGTCTCAGACCTATTTTCTGAGTTTAAAAAGTCGGTCCTAATCTGAACGGTAATCACATCTCTCCCTAGTCAGCAATCGTTGAAATTGCGGTAATGTTGTCTACTTCTATTGAACTCCACGTTCTGTTATATGTTTGGAAATGTTTTTTATCCGACAAAACCGACACCAGCTTGATTTGAGTGTTACCAGTTTTCTCTAAAGCAGAGCCAATACATTGGGACATCGCACTAGGAAACAATCTGACTTCTTTTCTTCTTTTCTCTTTTTTTTTNTTTTTTTTTGTTTTTTCCGTGTTATTTTTGGGCCAAGACCAGGTTCCTGCTCTAAAAGCTTCCATTTTTCAAAGATTCTGCTCTGACTGAATTGTATTAGAGGTTCTTAGAAACAGCCTCCAGGCTTGACCATGCACACTGAAGCTGGAACAATCTGTAATCTTTGTATTTTCCCTACTCAACTACTGCCCACTTTAGGAACTTTCGTCAGTCTTTTTAAGTCTCATTTACCACCTTTATAAGACATGCTTAGCTTTGAAAATCCAGAAATTCAGGTAATTTTTATTGTTTTTGTCTAATTCTCTGTGATATCGTAACTGGTACAGTAGCATTGTACATATATGTGCTTTGGTCTTTGAATGAGGAGCATCAATTTTCCAACTTACCGTAGTAGTGACTAGTAGTGACAATGACAATGACTGAGACCGTCTCTGTTCAAGAGCTCTCCACTGTTTCTTCAGTCTCTTTTCTTTTCGAATACTCATCCAAATTGCGCAAGAACCTTGAAAGTGTTCACATTTTATTTCGTCAACGGAGAGACTTAATGGAGGTTACCCGCTTCGACATCCCCGTCACACAACCGCGCGCTCTGCAAAGGTTACGTGAATGTAAGGCCTAAAGTCGAGTCGAGCAGTAGCGAGCTGACCCCCAGTTTTTGCTTCCAATCGTCCTTGATCCCTGTCTTTTTGGTTTTTGACATAACAAAATCGGTTGTTGCTCATCTACCGTGTTCGCTGAACAAGCCTACAAGTTCTTCAATGGTGGTCTTGCGAATGGAAAACCGTCCACTTTAATGTTGCCTAACTTTCTGACCTTCGCTAGATGACGGCATCGAAGGCCGGTTTTCCAGTTCGCCGCATATGGAGAAGCGGATGCCGTGGCCAGCGGTTCCAATGCCCAAGCGCAAGCCGCTTCCCGAAAAAAAAANNAAAAAAAAAACCATGTTGCGCCTCCATTCCTCGACATGGCTTTGGACGGTAGATACATGCTTTCATCGAATAACCCCGACTCTCTGGTAATGGCACAGGCTCACTGAATCAATAGCGACGATTCTGGGAGAAAGTCATGGCGAAGAAGGTCATGGCGTCTTCAGGGCGACCTGCCGTTCGGAAATGGTGGAGCGACGCAGCAGTACAGAACAGCTGAAGCTTGGCTTGATATCGGTGTCGATAGGCTTGTCCGTTTTGACCACCACCTCCGGAAGAATCGTGAGCCCTGGTTTTAATCAGGTTTTTCTTATGGGTGTTTACGGGATTGTTTGGTTTTACGGGAAACAATTGTGTCGGAACTTTGGTGGTTTGGGTCTCGATGGCTCCACAGAGGGGTTATTCTCAGAAGTAACGCATTGGTCGGAGATAGTGGAGAGAGCTCATTCTTCTGAATCTGCTCTCAAGCCTTGCTAGGGTCCAAATTCAGCTCAGCTAGCACCTAATCTGATCGCGTGAACTTTGAAAAAAAATTGAGGGAACGTCTGAGAAGTGGAGGGAAAGGGGAAATTGATAACATCCGTGGGAAGTAAAGTGGCTTGACAATCGTCGATACTCCGTTTTAGTGTCCTCTGGTATAAGTTGTCGGACCTTCAAGTTTTTCCGGAAAGCCCCTGAAACTATGTGTACACTGGAAGAGGCCAAATAATCGTGTGATCGAGAGGTTGCCATTCGTGGTCAAAATTCGGTGGAAAGAAGAATTTTTTTGCGACTTCTCGTTCATTCTGTCGATCTATGTTCTCATGTATTTGCTCATGTTTTTTTGCACATCGTTTACATAGCAGCACAGCACTTCACGACTAGCTTCATCGTGGGGCATCAGTGAAACAGAGAACAGAAGAATGATAAAAGAAGAAAACTCGGAGCTGTTAGGGACGATGCAAGTAGGAAGGGACGAAATTTTTTGTAACCGAGGAGGGGAAACTAGTAAGCATTTGATTCCTGAAGGCTCCCCAATTTCAAATTGCTTCTGATCGGAGCGATCGGAGTCATGAAAATAAGCTTTTTATAAGATTGCTGAATAATGGGTAAAGCTGGAACCTAATCCGAACCGTACTTATGATTTTCGAAAACCATGTCATTCTCTAAAGGAATCCGGCCATCTCTAAAGTTCTCAAAGGTAACTCGGGCTCAGGCTATCAGCACTCACATGTGCTCGGTGAGTCGGTCAGCTCGTATCGGCACCGAGCCACGAAGCTGAGAGGTTTCGATACTAGTTAACTTCTCGTCGTTTCTTAAAAACGCACTTTCTCCGATCAACCCACTCGAATAGCCCTCTTCACTCTAGCCCCTTTCAGAGTGCTGAAGAAGCTATATGTGGCAATGAGTTACTGTTATAAGTAGTTATCAATTACTCCACTGTCTGAACGAGGTCTTCACTATGTTCGACTTACTCCAGCCGTTCCCAATTCAATCAGTCAAACTCGAATGGTGTAGTCCTTTCAGAGAAGGAATCAATCAGTACATAAGCGGTGCTGTTCTCTGCCGCGGTGCACGGCGCTGTACTGGGAACGAAGCCAATCCCATTGGCAAACTGGTTGCTTAAAACCGTAGTCTGGCGTGTTGCATCCGCACCATAAGAATCCTACAGTAGTCATCAATAAACAACAAGTATGTCTGCTGCTTTTGTCTATGGCCGATGTCGGCAGCATCGCATTGCCTTTGATTGGGTAAGCTCGCGTAGATTAGCCAAAACACCAAGTTTATAGCGATACGGTAATCCATCCTTGACCGGAGGAGACAGATCTACTTGTTGGCGAAGCGGGGGGTTCCAGCATTGGGGAGCTGTTGGCATCGCGTGGCGCAACAAAGAACAAACACAAAAAAGATTCCCATTTGATCAGCTTGACGTTGAAACAACGGATGGTTCCGTGGGTTTTGAATCAGCCCACACCTGCATGGCTGTGTCCACAACGGTTTGGTGTGATCTCTGCCAAAGCACATTGAGATCCTACGAGGCTCCCAGGGGATACAGCCAAATCATTACTTTATCGAAACCAATGGCTATTTATTTACTTGTTTATGTCCAGAACCAATTCACAATAATACTGTCAACAATTGTGATGAGGCTGATATTCTATAACATATAAAGAAAGCCGAAGAAAAAGAATTACAGTACCTACTACAGTGATGAGGAGAGGTAAAAAGGGAAGTGAGGAACTTGGTGATGAGGGCTGATGAAACCCCAGCACTGGAACTTACACCAGGTGTTAAGCCGCTTCAAGTCCTATAACCTGGTATGTAGGTAAGGGAGCCCCAATGAGGTCCGCTTGGACACCCTAAAATATGATTCCTCATCTAGTTCTCATGAATTTTGGGTGTATGGGTGTTCAACAACTTCTCCCTATTATCGTTAGATCTCTACTGGATTCCTACTTCCTCTTTCAGGCAACGAGATCCGGAGAGATCAGGGGAGAGTTGAGTGATTATCTCAGATTACACCATGCATTCGTCTTCGAGAGGAATAGCATAGCTGATCAAATGTCTTTGAAATCAATGCTTAGAGAAGAACGTGTTCTGCTTAGAGCACGAGCTGTTTCCGCAAATAGACAAGTTTCGAGTATGTCTCTTGCGCGCGCCAGCAATGTATGGTGTCGGTCGTCGTATGTTCCTGCGTAAAGCCATGTTTACCCCTTTGAGCGGTC